GCTAAATGTCTATTCTTTGAATCACTCCTTTTCTTTCAGATAACCATGGTGAATCTGAACAATATGCTTTGTCCAGCTGTGAGTGATCCCTTTGCCGGACCGTACTATCGTGTAATGGCAATGACCCACCAGCCGCTGCTTATCTTGATTCTGGGAAAACTATTTGCTTGTCTTGTTCTCAGACTAAGAAGGTCTCCAACCTCTAAATCAAAATTCACTAGTTAATAAACGGCTGTTCTGCTCATTCGCGGTACTTCATACGTCAAAATGAGATTCTTTTCATAATTTTACTCTAAGCTGCACCTGTCTTTAAAATTTGGCGGACTCAATGGCTCGTGGTTCCCACCTAGCCGGGCCCGCGAGTCTCCGGTCGCCTCATTGGCCGGCAACAGGACGTGTTCCAATTAATGCGTCCCCATTACCCTCCATTCCAGCAATCACGCCCCAACAATCAATTTCTTCTGTCCTGCATCCTCTCCTCTCCCATTTCGGAACCTTTTGAGAAACTTGCTTTATTTTGATAAACTTTTTCGGATGATTGTGCTTTTCGACTACTGAAGCAATCATTTCATCTACTCTCTCACTTCTTTCTGTCCTTTCCATCATTGCGATTTTGCGAGTGCTAATTACTATATGCCCTAGTCCAACCTCACTTTGTTTTTTAGGCAAATTGCCGCCTTTTATGATGTTGATTTCGAGACAAAATAAAATTTTGCTTGTGAGAATGCACTCTTCTTTTCAGTTTTTTTACTGGAATGTGTGCATTAATGTCCTTTTTTCGCGGTTTACGTGTCCTCATTTTACGCATAACTGACTATTTATATTGTACCACAACGATTTTGATTCGTTTCACACATATTTGGGCTAAACATTGCTAACATAATTCAGTCCGAACCTCTACATAAGGTGCATCGGCAGCGCTGTAAAGTGGTTTCTATAGTTACCAAATCTAAAAGACTAGTCATTCCGAGTGGCCCAACGGAGCGTCACGTCTCCTCTACATCAGAGTGAAATGCTCAGCGAAAACCCAAACTCCACTTTGTGACAAAGGACCAACGTTATGTCTCTACCCTCTTCTGTTCGCGCCTAGTTGCCGCTGGCTTGCATCTCATTCTACCTTCAATTCTTTTATGTATAAGTGCGGTTGACGTGCGCATTGGTGAATACAGAAAACCTTGCAATGATCTTTAGAATACACGCGTCTTTTGAATATATCTGTGTTACTTGTACTGGTTGCGACTGCATTCATGACTGATCTAGCCGGCATTACGATTTCAAGTAGTCATCATCCTCGAGAGCTTTACGCATAAACCTGACTTCTGTCAATGGGCTCATTAGTACCGCAATGTGTCAGACCGTTCGGGGTCCTCAATCTTCGCGATAGGTCGGGTAACCTCTCCCTCATAATGCATGTGTGCACCGCGAGTTTGCGCTATTGTCTTTTATGGTGAGTCAGGCGGAGCAGTGTAGCTATAAAAAAAAATCAGAGACCTCCAAGGGCGGTTTCAACCGACATGTTGACTTCTTAGCTCCATCCTCCCTCCATTTTGTTGTTTTTTCTCAAGTTACCACTATTATAATTTTAGCCACAATGCCACCAACAGTGACATCCGGGCCTCAGCTGAAGCTTTCAAATCCACCCGGGGACACCATAAGCGCGGTGCATTTTCAGCCAGGCAAGGGTGCTGAATTCCTAATCGCTTCCTCGTGGGACTGTTCTGTCCGTCTCTATGATGTGACCTCGGGCAGCCAGCGCACTTCATTTGAGCACAAGACGCCTGTCCTGGCCAGTTGCTTCACCGACGCTGTGCACACTGTGAGCGGTTCTCTGGAAGGGGACTTCAAGTACTTCGACTGCAACACCTCCCAAGGTACGTGGCCATACGATGTCTACCTTAATTGATCTATGGAATTGGGTGCTCGGAGAGAAAGGGGGAAGTGTTTTCTGGTGGTTAGACCTGAAAAACTTTACGCTGACGTCTACTATCTTGTGAGGGACTACCGACTGAAGGTATTTTTAGTTGTGACAGGTGCCAGGGAATTCTTAAGACAACGATTTCCAAGAGGTGATCGTGAAATATTAACGCATTATATTTGCATGAACCAGTGGCGAACCACCTGCACCTAAAGTGGTCTTTCAGATAAAAAAAGTTAATACGTATGCACAGAAAGTTATGTAAATCTTAACAGATGCGGGCTTAGAATTTTTACGAATGGAAGCGAATATGCGGGAAGATGGAGATGAAGGCGCAATCACTGGGACAGTATTTCTATGTGTCTGAACTTTCGGCTTCGTACGAGAGGCCACCTTCAGAAACAATGAGAATAAATCTTGCGGATAATAGCGCGAGTCAGTAATAAAACGGGGCGAGAACTACTTAAGCCCTGACTCCAACTCCCCCGCAGAAATGTTGATAGGTGTCCCTGCTACCACACCCTTCGTTCACGTGGCCCAATTGCCTGTCAAAGAAGCACGCCGTGGGGACGTAGTGAGACAGTGTGGACTCAACTTACCACGAATGCAACCCCCTACCCGCACCTCCCATCCACTTTTTCTCGTATCTGAATATATAAAATACGTTAATTCTTGTTTCACTTCGAAGGTGGCCTCTGTTACGAAGCCGAAAGCTCAGACAAATAAAAAATACTGTCCCAGTGATTGCGCCTTAACGTTATTTGTATAATT